ATTTAAAAATTGGCCAGAGGCAGAGTCCAGGACACCAAGACGTGGGGTCCTGGCAGCTGGGTGGCCCAAGGGCCCAGGGCAAGGATGCACCGCTGCGGGGTGGGAGCTGACACCATTGCCAAGAAAACAACTTGCAGAGGCCAAGTATAAGGAGCGAGGGATGGTCCTGGCTGAGAACCAGCTAGCCCAGTTGTCAAAGCAGTTGGACATGTTCAAGACCAACCTGGAGGAATTTGCCAGCAAGCACAAGCAGGAGATCCGGAAGAATTATGAGTTCCGTATGCAGTTCCAGGACATGTGTGCAACCATTGCCATGGATCCTTTGGCCTCTGGAAAAGGATTTTGGTCTGAGATGCTGGACATGGGGGACTTTTATGAACTAGATGTCCAAATTTATTGAAGTGTGCCTGGTGCTGAAGCATCAGAAGGGAGGTCTGATAACTCTGGAGGAACTACATCAACAGGTGTTGAAGGGAAGGGGCAAGTTCACCCAGGATGTCAGTCAAGACGACCTGATCAGGGCCATCAGGAAACTAAAGGCACTTGGGACTGGCTTAGGCATCATCCCTGTAGGTGGCACTTACCTCATTCAGTCTGTTCCAGCTGAGCTCAATATGGATCACACCGTGGTGCTGCATCTGCCAGAGAAAAATGGCTACATGACTGTCAGTAAGATCAAAGCCAGTCTTAAATGGCAGACCGAGTGAGTGCGGCAAGTCCTGCAACACCTGCTGAAGGAAAGGCTGGTGTGGCTGGACTTGCAGGCCCCAGGGGAGGCCCACTACCGGCTGCCAGGTCTCTTCACTGACCTCTGCTCCCGGGAGATTACAGCTGAGGAGGCCGGAGAAGCCTTCCCCTGACTTCATGGAAGGGCACACAGTAGCAGGCAGGGAGAAGGAGGAGGGCCTACTGGCGAATAAACCTGGGCAGTTTTGTTTATTAAAAAAAAACAGAAAAAAAAATAAAAATTAGTTGGTCATGGTAACACACACCTATGGTCCCAACTACTCTGGAGGCTGAAGTGGGAAGATTGCTTGAGTCCGGGAGGTCAAGGCCACTTTGAGATATAATCATGCCTCTGCACTCCAGCCTGGGAGAACCTGTCTCAAAAAAAAAACAAAAAAAGGTAGGAAAACAAGCAAATGTAATGTAATCGTAGGTAAGGAAAGAAACTATATCCGGGAAATTGTTTTGGTCAATCATTTCAAATGCTAAAAACAAAATTAAAGTCAGAAAAAATATCTACTATACTTGGCAATGGGAAAATCACCTTGATAGAGCCGTAATTTTGGTGGGGTGGTATGTTGAGAAAAGTGTGACATGAGAAGGTGGACAGAGGACACACTTGTTTCAAGGAGTTTTGCTAAGAGCAGTATAGAAAAACGACAGGCAGTTAAAGGGACTGTGAAGTCAGAGTCTCTTTAGGATTCAAGATACAGAGCCATGTTGTATGCTGATAATAATTATCCAGTTGAAGAGGCCAAGGTTAGAGGTACAGCTGCAGAAAGATTGCTGGATGTTGGCTGGGCTGGGTGACTCATGCCTGTAATCCCAGCACTTTGGGAGGCTGAGGCAGGCAGATGACCTGAGGTCAGGAGTTCAAGACCAGCCTGGCCAACAAGGTGAAAACATGTCTTTACTAAAAATACAAAAAATTAGCCAGGCATGGTGGTGCATTGCCTATAGTCCCAGCTATTCAGGAGGTTCAGGAGGCTGAGGCAGGAGAATCACTCAAACCCAGGAGGCAGAGGTTGCAGTGAGCCAAGATCATGGCCCTATACCCCAGCCTGGGCAACAAGTACAAAACTCCATCTCATAAATAAATAAATAAATAAATAAATAAATAAATAAATAAAAGGTTGTTGGATGTGATGGCAGGAAGAAGAGAGGAACACTATCAATTGTGCCCTGAAATTTTAATGTAGGCAAGGTTATCAGTGTTCTAGAGTACAGGAAGGAGGTGGCAATTTCAGAAGAGTCTGTGTTAATCAGTCCTTTTGAAGCCCAAGAATCTCAGCAAGTGTAGAGGACTGTGTGGCAGTAACTATGGCCCATCTGACATTTGCGTGAGTCCCACCAGTACAGCTGTGTCCAGTCCTCTAGTCACATTCTGCCCCTCAGGTGTAGGCAGCAGGCTCTGGTCAGAACAGCTCAGCCTGGACTATAGTAGTCTCCCAACCAGGAGCCTCCCATGACTGCCCTGGATGGCAGAAATCTCGAAGGTTATCAGGTCATATGAAGTGCCTTTCTACAAACTACACTTCAGCGTTCTCTTTCAAAACAAGTGATTTGTCACCTTGTGATAAGCAGCATCTAATGCAGATTGGTGAGAAAGAATAACTCTTTCTCATCCTTTAGGTCTCAGCTCTGTTACCTCCTCAGAGACCGCCAGCCTGAATAGTACATTACATTTATATTAAACTTATTTTAAACATTTAACAGCTACCACATCAAGACATACTATTGCCATCAGCCAGAAAATTTGTCAAAATTCACAAAGTTGAGTTGGGCAGTAGGCAATGTGCATAACAGTATGTGCACATTTTTGACTAAAAGGGTACCTCCTTTTACCCTCTTGCCTCCTATCCTGCATTTTCTTCAGAGTACGTTATTCCTATTGGAGTTTTCTATTTCTCTCTCTTGGGTCTTCACTTCACAAGGGCACTTTGTCTTGTACACCACTGTTTTCATTTTGTGCCTAATAACACCTGGCACGTAACAGGTGCACAGTAAGTAGCTGCTGAATACCACTCAGCTCAGCTGGTGCCTAGTGGTACCTTAATTACCCTGTGGAAGTTACTCAAATACCATGGCAACATCTTTTCTTGCCCTCACTTGCTGTGTTCTCCCAGATGGCAGCTGCCCCTTACTACATGCACCCTGGCTGAGACTCTTGCTAGAACCTCTCACCCCTCAACACACACCTGCCTTGCTTCACCACTTTCTTCCTATTCTTATCAATTTAATCCTCATTCTCCCTCTTAGATCTTTGCCTTTTTGTTCTTTGCCTTGAGACTTAAGAAGCCTTGGAATCCTCACAGATACACAACAGCAGAAGGCTTGGAACCTTGGGAGTTGGGGGTCTCTGTCATAGACCTTTTTTTTTTTTTTTTTTTGAGATGGAGTTTCGCTCTCGTTGCTCAGGCTGGAGTGCAGTGGCACAATCTCTGCTCACTGCAACCTCCACCTCCTGGGTTCAAATGATTCTCCTGACTCAGCCTCCTGAGTAGCTGGGATTACAGGTGCCCGCCACAAGGCCTGGCTTATTTAGTTTTTGTATTTTTAATAGAGAAGGGGTTTCACCATGTTGGCCAGGCTTGTTCTCAAACTCCCAAACATAGGTGATCCACCCTCCTTGGCCTCCCATAGTGCTGAGATTACAGTCGTGTGCCACCCTGCCTGGCCTCAGTCATAGGCTTTTAATGCAAAGACTGGTTCCTGTGGACCCAAGACTGCAGTCCAGGCAGCTATAGTCTTAGAGCTCAGGTCTGAGTAAATTCATCCAGTTACCACTTCCCCCACAGAGATCCAGCTGAGAGGCAAAGTACAGCCTGGATTTTGTCTGGTTAATGATGGTGGGAAAGGCTCTTTCTATGCCTATTAACATATAGGCAGAGAACTCACATTGGGGTGACCAACTGTTCTGGTTTGAAAGTTCTGCTTCCCGGAAAACCTTCAAGTCCTAAGCAACCCAGTCAACTGGTTACCCTATATTGGAGCTGTGCCTAACCACAGCCACACATTAACAAGCTGGTGAATTTACTTAGTTTTGCCTCCCGTTTAACTACTTCAGGAATGCATCATAATTCCACCAACTCAGTACTTACTAGTAAAATAAAAGCTCACACTGGTTAATACCCAAGATGCTAAATGAAAATATGCAATGTATGGAAATGGTGTCTGTTACCATTTGTTTTAAAAGGGCAAGGAATATTGCTCCAGAGGAGCAATTTAATACAAATGATCATGAAGGAAGACTAGAGCACAACCACCCTACACACAGCACACTTGCTGATATGACTGTGAAAACATCCACAATCATTAGTAGTAACCACCTCAGACCAATAAGGTTGGAGAAGAAACTTTTTTATATTCATCTCTATTGCTTTACTATAAGTATGTATTTTATAATAATAAAAGTAGAAAAAATCCGTGTTTTAGAAAGAATGAGCATTCATACAGATTAGTGATGGGCAGTGTTTATAGGGTCAAGTCTTCCATATCAGAATTTGTTAACTGGCCATCAGGACACCAGACAAGAAAGTAAGTTGGTCTTGGCTTCTGGCTCCTCCCAGATTACAAGTTAAGGGTCTTCAGAAGGAGGGGAAGATAGGTGATGACAGGCTAGCATGACAATTCTTTTTTTTTTTCTCCATCTGAGTCTGCTTTCTAGGGAAGACACTTCATTCATTACTACAACTGTCAGCCTAAAGAGCTGACTAGTTCCCAGCACTCTTGTACAAAATCCCAGAAGTTTATAAAAGAGTCTAAAAAACTTATGTCATTCCTCAGCTACAAGAAAACCCACAATTTAGTCAGGCATTCAGACAAAATATGGAGGAATTATGTCACTTAGATGAACTTTTAAAAGTTGGGGATGGGGTGTTCCACTTCATATATACCTTCTGGTTTTCCTCTAGTGTATTTGTTAATCTGGGTCCACTGTGAAAATTCCTTTATCTTCAAGAGTAATTGTTAGGCTGTGATGGTTAAGCTGAACCTCACCTAACTCCCCTTCAAACTCTCAAATGAATGCCCTTGAGACACAAAGGTCATTCCATGAACTCCTGAGAATGCTGTAACCAGGTTACTTGACTTGGCCAACACTCAAAAGGCCCAGTACGCAAGCCTTCCTCACCACACTCCCCAAAGGGCCCATCACACCCTAGCTTCCTGAATAGGGCTGAGCCACATATCTAAACCTTAAAGCTGTGTACACACTTGCCCACACTTCAAACACCATTAATAAGAATTTCAGCTTTTCCATGCTACCTGCTGAGGGATCCAAACGGCATTGTTCTGGATTCCCATCGTAACTTAAAGGGAAACTTTCACAATGTCTGGAGCTCTTGATGTCCTTAAGTTCCTGGCAGCAGGAACCCATTTAGGTGGCACCAACCTTGACTTCCAGATGGAACAGTGTATCTATAAAAGGAAAAGTGAAGGCATCTACATCATAAATCTGAAGAGGACCTGGGAGAAGCTTCTCCTGGCAGCTCGTGCCATTGTTGCCATTGAAAACCCTGCTGATGTCAGTGTTATATCCTCCAGGAATACTGGCCAGAGGGCCGTGCTGAAGTTTGCTGCTACCACCGGAGCCACTCCACTTGCTGGCCGCTTTACTCCTGAAACCTTCACCAACCAGATCCAGGCAGCCTTCTGGGAGCCATGGCTGCTTGTGGTCACTGACCCAAGGGCTGACCACCAGCCTGTCATGGAGGCGTCTTATGTTAACCTACCTACCATTGCTCTGTGTAACACAGATTCTCCTCTGCGCTATGTGGACATTGCCATCCCATGCAACAAAAAAGGAGCTCACTCGGTGGGTTTGATGTGGTGGATGCTGGCTTGGGAAGTTCTGCGCATGCGTGGCACCATTTCCCATGAACACCCGTGGGAGGTCATGCCTGATCTCTACTTCTACAGAGATCCTGAAGAGATTGAAAAAGTAAAGCAGACTGCTGCCGAAAAGGCTGTGACCAAGGAGGAATTTCAGGGTGAATGGACTGCTCCACCTCCTGAGTTCACTGCTACTCAGCCTGAGGTTGCCGACTGGTCTGAGGGTGTGCAGGTGCCCTCTGTGCCTATCCAGCAGTTCCCTACTGAAGACTGGTCTGCAGCTCCCACTGCTCAGGCCACTGAATGGGTAGGAGCAACCACTGAATGGTCTTAAGCTGTTCTTGTGTGGCCTCTTAAACAACATATAAGATTCATGGAAAATAGACATCAAGTTTCTAAAAAAAAAAAAAAAAAAGAATTTCAGCAAAGGCAAGTGAAACCTAATGCTTCCTGAAAATCAGGAACTCTGCGGTCAGAATGCCTGAATAGCGAAACCTCCTCTGCCCTTTTCAACAGAGTTGAGAAGACTCAAGAAAATAATCCATGTTAACATGCTTGGCACATGGAAATGCTCAGTGCTAGACAATAGCGTCAGCTATTTCTGTCATTTCAAAGATTGAACGTTCAGTAGCTATACTCTCCTAGTCACTCTGAATTCAACTCAACACTTTACAGCAATTGTTTCAGCATTGAGTGCACTGGAAAACCCAAGCTGGTTCAGGATATGTCAGCTATTGCCTTTTCAGGACTGCAACGTCAAATCGATGTATTTCAGAAGCCATGACTCACTTACTCTGTACTCTTTTAACATACCAAACGCTGTAGGCCATCTGCCACTCAGGTTGATAGCAGAAATGTCTAACTGCCGCCAAAAGGTGGTTTAAGCAAACACATTTTGAAAATCCAAAAGATGTCTACTCATATTCCCAGACCTACTTTAAAAATCCTGGCTTCTCACTTCTAGAGTATGTTTTTTTTCCTAGGATCTGTGGTGAAGCTAGAAAAACCCAAAGACCAATAAAGCAATCACTAATATACTAAAGAAACCCAGAGCCAAGACTAAAATTAAGGGCAAAAACTGGTGTGGTGGCAACAGGCCAAGAGGCCATACCAGGTCGTGCATGACCTGGATCCTTCCAGAGGCTGTGAGAGTTATACTGCCATCCCAAAAATCTTGACTCCTGTTTTTTTTTTTTTTTTTTTTTCAGACAGTTTCATTCTTGTTGCCCAGGCTGGAGTGCAATGGCATGATCTCAGCTCACTGCAACCTCCACCTCCCAGGTTCAAGTGATTCTCCTGTCTCAGCCTCCCGAGTAGCTGGGATTACAGGCCCATGACACCATGCCTGGCTAATTTGTGTATTTTTAGTAGAGACAGAGTTTCATCATATTGGTCAGGCTGGTCTCGAACTCCTGACCTCAGGTGACCTGCCCACCTCCACCTCCCAAAATGCTGGATTACAAGTCATGCACTCGGCCCCTGACTCATATTTAAATTGCCCATCTCCCTAGCAGTTTTGCCATACAACCAGTTCCAGTGTAGCTCTGAGGAGGAAGCGGTGAGCTAGGTCTTGGGTTTGTCTTTGCATTTGAATCTTAGTCACAGATCATTGAAAATATTAAAATTAAAATGGTAGTTTTATGCATTTCGACCAAGGTAGAGATGAATGTGGTTCTGGAAAACAAAGAATGTTGTTGAAGACCAAATACATTATACAGCTTCTCCTCCTGCTCCTTTGCCTACTGTATGCAACACATACCCAAGACCTTCACTGCAAAGGGACTTATGTTGAAAGCTGGACTCAACAGCAAGAGCGCATCACAAATGTTACATCTGGTTTATTTCACCACACCATGTAACCTACTTCCTGAAACATTTGGACATACCTGCCCTTAAAGCTGTCCCTTGACTAGGCCTATCAAACCTAATTACTAGCTCTTGCTCCTATCTTCAGGTTCCAATGTAGTTCTAGAACTGCAAAAAGCCTGATGGTAAGTCTCCTCGCAGATCAGATGGTATGCTAAGGTAGAGGTACTCAACAGCTTTGGGCATTTCTCACAGCTTTAATGAGAGCTTTCACTGTGGTCTTCCTAATGTTTTACGGAGCAAGAAACACTCTTAACTTCCTTTCCTATCACCACAATTCTGGCCTTTACCACTAGATAGTTCACTTATTGGTGGCAACAGCCTACCACCACGCTAAGAAAGAACAGCTAAACTTTTTATTGGAAGAACACTTTTAAATATAAATATATATATATATATATATATATATATATATATATATATTTTTTTTTTTTTTGAGACAGTCTCGCTCTGTCACCCAGGCTGGAGTGCAGTGGTGTAATCTTGACTCACTTCAACCTCTGCCTCCCAGGTTCAAGATATTCTCTAGCCTCGGCCTCCTGGCTAGCTGGTATTACAGGTAAGTGCCATCACACTCAGCCAATTTTTGTATTTTTAGTGGAGACAGGGTTTCACCATGTTGGTCAGGCTCATCTTGAACTCCTGACCTCAAGTGATCTACCTGCCTCGGCCTCCCAAAGTGTTGGGATTACAGGCGTGTGCCACTGCACCCAGTGGGAAGAACACATTAAAGTCCTTCCCAGGGACAACAGTGAATGGTTGAGGACATTGTACACCATAGCTGAGGCTATCTCAAGATAGATCCCCAAAAGACCCAAGTAGTAAAATTAGCCAGGAGCAGTGGTTTGCTGTGTTAGCAGCATTGTAGGCAGAGTAAACAAAGTCCTAGCTATTTCTCCCAAGCCTGTTGAGGATACAAACCAGTCATCCCTCACTATTCTTGGGAGACTGGATCCAGGACACCTCACGTGGATACTCAAGTCTGGAAGTCAGTCCCCTTTATCAGTGGGTTCTGCATTCAAGAACACTGCATTTTTTGCCAGGCATGGTGGCTTGTGCCTGTAATCCCAGCCTTTGGGAGGCAGAGGCTGGTGGGTCACCTGAGGTTGGGAGTTTCAGACCAGCCTGGCCAACATGGTGAAACCCCATCTCTACTAAATATACAAAATTAGCTAGGCATAGTAACGCACACCTGTAATCCCAGCTAGTCAGGAGGAGAACTGCTTGAACCTGGGAGGCAGAGGGATCAAGAGATTGCACCAGTATACTCCAACCTGGGTGACAGAGTCTCCGCCTCAGGGAGGGAAAAAAAAAAACACTGCATTTTAAATTCAAGGTTAGTTGAATCCATTGATGCCAACCCCGTGGATGCTTAAGGCTGGCTGTACTTTACGGATTACTCATAATACCTAAAACAATGAAACTGCCATTGCCATGTAAGTAGTTGTTACACTCTAATAGCGTGTTTTTTTGTTTTTGTTTTCTTGAGACGGAGTTTTGCTCGTTATCCAGGCTGGAATGCAATGGCGCAATCTCGGCTAACCGCAACCTCCGCCTCCTGAGTTCAAGCAATTCTCCTACCTCAGCCTCCCGAGTAGCTGGGACTACAGGCGCGCACCACCAAGCCCAGCTAATTTTTGTATTTTTAGTAGAGACGGGGTTTCGCCTTGTTGACCAGGATGGTCTCCATCTTGACCTTGTGATCCACCCACCTCGGCCTCCCAAAGTGCTGGGATTATAGGCGTGAGCCACCGCGCCCGGCGTGTTTTTGTTTTTTTAAGATGAAGTCTTGCTCTGTTGCCCAGGCTGGAGTGTAGTGGCTCAATCTTGGCTCACTGCAACCTCCACCTCCCAGGTTCAAGCTATTCTCCTGCCTCAGCCTCCTGCTTAACTGGGATTACAGGCGTGCGCGACACCTGGCTAATTTTCGCATTTTTAGTAGAGACATGGTTTCAACATGTTGGCCAGACTGGTCTCACACTCCAGACCTCAAATGATCCGCCTGCCTCAGCCTTCCAGTGCTGGCATTTAAGGTGTGAACCACCATGCCTGGCCACTGTATTGGTTTTTATTGGTTCCTTTTCCCCAAAACTATTTTCAGTCCACGATTGGCTGAATCCTTAGGGAACCCTTGAATAAGGAATGAAGGGCTGGCTGTACTTAAATTCAACCTCAGACATGAGGGTTTGTACTTTTCCTTAAAAAAGCATATGACCTTTTTCAGAATTCACTCATTAGCTATATTTCCTCTTTCACTCTTGGAAAAGAGGGTCCAGGCATGACAGGAAATATAAATCAAACTGGGGTCTGTTGTGTATCTCACTTACGTGGTTGCCACTTATCTCTTTGTATGTTCAACTTTTAAACAATTCAAACACAATCCACATTTTTCTTCCCTCAGATTTATATACCAGCTGATAAAAATACATTTCAATCTATTTACAGGACAGCACTGCCTACAAGCCAACAATGCTGTTAGCAACATCCCATTTTTGTCTAGACAATAGTACTTGTGCAATTACATATAATAAAAAGTAGAAATAAAATATACTTATATTCCTAAAATTTAACTTAAACTATAATTGGAAAAAAAAAGATCACCAGGAATGCGCAAAATAATACATCTACAACTTTCATAGGGCTATTTGCTAAAACAGATGCATAATTGTGAAGGCAAAAAAAAAAAAAATCTAAACTAAAAAAAGTTTATGAAGACTAGAAATATGTCAAAAGAAGGTGTAAGGACAGCTGGGCAAGGCTGCTCATGCCTGTAATCCCAGCACTTTGGGAAGCTGAGGTGGGCGGACCACGAGGTCAGGAGATGAAGACCATCCCGGTTAATATGGTGAAATCCCATCTCTACTAAAAATAGAAAACATTAGCTGGGTGTGGCTGCACACGCCTGTAATCCCAGCTGCTCAGGAGGCTGAGACCGGAGAATCGCTTGAACCCAGGAGGCGGAGGTTAAAGTGAGCCGAGATTGGCCATTGTACTCCAGCCTGGGCGACAGAGCCAAACTCCATCTCAAAAAAAATAAGAGCAGGCTAAGGCTTTAATGAAAAACAGCTTTAGCTCACAAGCCAAAACCTATTTCAAAACAAACAAGCCTTACTGTTACTATATGCCTATTTCTAAGAACACATTAACCATACATTTACACTCAACAGGTAAGTCACCACTGAGAGTCACATGGTACATTTTAATTCCTTAGCAACATCCATGAACCACCACCCACCACTATGTATCTCAATTTCCTTGTTTGTAGTTAGGAAACAGCAGTGAGGTGCTTTTGTTTTTTGAGGTGGGGTTTTGCTTTCTGCCCAGGCTGGAGTGCAATGGCACGATCTCGGCTCACTGCCAACTTCCGCCTTGAGGGTTCACTTGACTCTCCTGTCTCAGCCTCTCCAGTAGCTGGGACTACAGGCGCCTGCCACCATGCCTGGCTAATTTTGCATTTTTAGTACAAACAGGATGTCACCATGTTGGCCAGGCTGGTCTTGAACTCCTGACCTCAGGTTATCCATCCACCTCAGCCTCCCAAGGTGCTTGGATTATAGGAGTGAGCCACAGTGCCCAGCTGCGTTTTTAACCCTAGATGTAAATTAGAATCACTTGGGAAACTTAAAAATACCTACCTATGCCTGGGCCCTCCTCCAGCAATTTAAATCAGAATCTCTGTAGGCAACAAAGCTTAGAACCTCAGAAATAACTATTCTTTTCCTGAGCTAAGTCCTTCTTGAAACTACTCTAATATTGACAAATTTTAAAAACACCTATTACAGGCCAGGCATGGTGGCTCATGCCTGTAATCCCAGCGCTTTGGAATGCCGGGGTGGGCAGATTTTGAGATCAGGAGATCGAGACCATCCTGGCCAACATGGTGAAACCCCATCTCTACTAAAAATATAAAAATTAGCTGGGTGTGGTGGCATGTGCCTGTAATCCCAGCTACTCAGGAGGCTGAGGCAGAATAGCTTGAACCAGGGAGTCTGAGGTTCAAGTGAGCCAGGATTGCACCACCATACTCCATCCTGGTGACAGTGTGACACTCCATCTTAAGAAACAACAAAAAAACCCATACAGATTAAGAATCCTTTTTTGAGAAAGGGTCTGGCTCTGTCACCCAGGCTGGAATATAGTGCCACAATCTTGGCCTACTGCAACCTCGCCTCCTGGGCTCAGGTGATCCTTTCACCTTCGCTTTCTGAATACCGGGGTCTACAGGTGCTATGCCACCACGCCCCACTAATTTTTGTATTTTTTTTTTGGTAGAGATGGGGTTTTGCCATGTTGGCCAGGCTGGTCTTGAACTCTTGACCTCAAGTGCTCCGCCTGCCCCGGCCTCTCAAAGTGCTGCAATTATAGGCAAAAACCACAGCACCCGGCCTGTTTCTAAGAATAAAGCTCTGTAAAAGTTTATTAATGAAAATCCTATTCTAATGCTACTGAGAAACCAACAACTAACACCCAACTTAGTGATTCCCAACCAACCATATGTATTTTAAAGAAAATCACCATACTTACCATTTTCCTTACCACAGCCATTTCAAAAGAAGGTAGGGTACTAACACTTTCTAGTTCAGACAGCCAAAGCTCAGTCAGTCTCTATAATTAAACAACTATTTTAAAACCAAGTTACTCTTGTCACAAGCCCCATTATGCTAACCACAAAATTTAAGAGAGTTTGTGCCTGGACGTTACGCCACATGTCAATTACAATATACATATTCCTTAGTCAATTCTGGTATCATAGGACCTGAAAAATAGCTGCTTGGTGTCTAGATTACTTGGGCGTTGATTAAAACCACTGCACACAGATAGGCTATTTGTTCAGTTGGAGAAAGGGCATAAAGTGAGAGAGCAACAAAAAGACACACACACACACAATGTATTTCTTGTGAAGGAAAAGAATGAAATGAAATGTAGAAACCTTAATGGCCTTTTGCTTTGGAAAATTAACTCCACAAGCCACCAAAAATACTAACAATTAGGTCAGAAAAGACATTAAATATGTATGTATTCCTCAAGCATCTTAGAAAGTGGATATGCTATAACTTCCCTTTTGGTTCCAGATTCAACACAGCACAAAGGAAGAAAATTTTTATTTACTATACTCACAAGTATGATTAAGTGTTCTTATTTACTCTGGCAGGTTAAAATATCAAGTATTAGTTCCCACTGAAGAACTGTTTTTAATATCTAATCCTCTTCGAAGGATAAAAGGGGGAAAAACTCGTTAAATGCTGAACACTGCCACTTCAAGTACCATTTTTGTCTTTGGGTGAATGTACATCAGACTAAACCATGATCCAACAATAGTTTCCATTTGGTTTCACTAGTATCACTCAAAGAACTTGACACAGACTAATGCTTTAACAACTTTCTTATCTGAGACAGATTTAACTCTAAGAACATATGACTTAACAATGTACAAAGATTTGTTAGAAATTTGCCAATCTGTCAATCATTTTAAAGAGTCCATATAATATACATAGCAATATAATATTCATAACCAGAAACTGCACTAAGTAAACACATCATTTAGTTTGTTAAGCTCTACCTGAAAACATGCCGTTTTATTAAAACAAAACCCAAAGACTCAAATCTCAAGTTATATGGTTTTACAATGAAGTCTTACTGAAGCAGCACAGATTTTCTTTCTTACAAACAAGTAAATATGCATGAAGAACCCACAAAGTGCACACCAACAATGTGACAAATTGTAGTAGGTGAAATACAAATAAATCCTGGAGTTAATCTGAAGAATGTCAAGGAGTTACCAGAGTGGTTATGTAGTGCCCTTGATTTTTATTTTACCTGTAAGTCTACAAATTCTAAAATTTACTCGATTTAATTTTTTAATAAACAGCACCAGTCTTGCCCATTGATACAATTAAAATTTGACCTTCTCAGTACTTAGTTCACAAGTTTATTATGAAAAACACTGCAGTGCTCTTGTGCAGTCACATTGTCTTACAGGAAGAGGAAAAAACAGTTCTGTTCAAAACAACTCACCAGGTTCTGACAATAACAAAGAACAACATAGGGCTGAGATCTGAGTAAGGAATAAACTGAGTGCAGACAAATCATGTAATTAAATTAAATGGTATCCCTGAAAATAAAAAGAACAATTTCAAAACTCACAAGTAGAGGGGAGGCCTTGGTACTTATTTTTAAAAATGTTCATTAAGCTCCAACGATTGTTTACTGCTATCCTTATCTACAGTCATGCTGAATAAAGCTATAGCTAAATGGAAGTTAAATTGTATTCACGAGGTGTTAATGTTTACATTTTATTATCTGCAGTCTCTCAGAGAAAGCAAAAGTAACTACAAATAGCGCTATGCCAGAAACTGGTTTCTTGACCAACAATGTCGCTTCAGCATGCAATGAACTGGTTCATTCTAAAGTGGTCACGGCTGTTGATGACAAGAGGCTTTGTATATTTATATGGCACATCTTTTGGTCCGTGTGAAAACAAGTTTTTTGAATGTTAACTATTTTCTGACACTTTGGAGTTACTGTTGCTCTTCCCATTTCCATTAGGTCAATATATGGTTCATGGCAATACTGTACAAGTTTAAAATTTCATTACAGGAAGTAGTCTGGGGTACGACGAGTAACATGTGGCTCGCCTCTACGAGGTGCTGGGTCAAACTGCAAGCTGAAAAACAAGACATATTCATAATTTATGTTCTAAGACATCCATGTATTGAGAATTTAAATCAAGAACATGAGTCTTCCACACTTTATACTTCCTATCAAATTTCAGCTTGTCTCACTGTAATAGAACCCTAATGATAATAGTCTGTTAACTGTACTCCCCTTGAAAGCGTCAAGCAACTTCAGTCAGAGAAACTATGCTTTTATGAAAACATGATTTCAAAAGTGAAAAACCTAGTCATTTATACTAGGTTCTATACATAGTAAGTTCCTGTTGGTGTGTTTCAATGTAAGTCCATTAAAAAGAAAAACAAACCTTAAAAATAAAAGTTGGAATCTAGCATAGCACAATCACTTAAACTTTAAACATCCCATTTAGAACTATGTATTCAAGCTGGGCACCGTGGCTTACACTTGTAATCCCAACACTCTGGGAGGCCAAAGTGAAAGGATCACTTCTGCCTAGGGGTTCAAGACAAGACTGGGTAAATACAGTGACACCCTCTCTCAAAAAATAAACAAAATAAAAACCTACATATTTACCAATTCAATCAACTGTTCAGGCAGGTAGAAGTACTTACAAAGAGTATTTTAGAGTATCATCAAGTTCCATGATTGCAGCTTGGTTACCACAACGATAACAATAGTTTGGAGCACTGAAAATCGTTACTACATTCCGGTCATGGCACCAGTTATATCCCTACAAGGAAAATGAGATAAATATCTTACTTTACTCCCTTATTTACAACTAAATGTTACTTCACTCAAGGGAAAATCTCTACTCATTCCCACCCCTGCCAAAGAGGCTTAAGAAACATTAATGCTTTTTTTCTGGATGACTTATGAATTTGCGGTAATAATAATCCCTTTTCATACAACCTGTAAATATCCCTTATACAATCTGTAAATAACCCTTTTTATACAACCTGTAAGACACACATGTATTTGTTTTTCCCCTAATTATAAAACTCAGTTTTTTAGTACTAAAAAGGAAAAAAAAAAAAAGCCTTTAACAAACAACACCAACCACCGAAGAATAAACTGCTTCTTATGCATCTGACTTGCTGAAAATGGTAGTGTCTCATTAGCCTCTTCTACTGCAGTGGCCTTAAAACCTGATTTAAGAATAAGTATTTATGTGGCCATTCCCTAGAGAGGTAGACACCTAATCCTGGAGACCATAACCTCACTAATTTTCTTGTCATAGGTAAAGGCCTATTAGTGTGTGGTTCACTGCCCAGGAACAAATGAGACATGCCTCTAGTCTTTCCAGCCTTGCTTCCTCAAAGTCCATCCATCTGAATGTACGAGCTACTTCTGTTACTTTTTGTTTAGTACTGTTCACAAATTTATCTTTAGCAAAGTCAGATTTTATCAATACCCACAGAGTTATACTAGTATTAAACTAATTAGGACTTTATTTTTTAAAATATGCTCATCAGTGTGCCATGTCAAGAACCTTAGCCTTGGTCAGGCACGGTGGCTCCCGCCTGTAATCCCAGCACTTTGGGAGGCCAAGGTTGGTGGATCACAAGGTCAGGAGATCGAGACCATCCTGGCCAGTAAGGTGAAACCCCGTCTCTACTAAAAATACACAGATTAGCTAGGCATGGCAGTACATGCCTGTAATCCCAGCTACTTGGGAGGCTGAGGCAGGAGAATTGCTTGAACCTGGGAGGTGGAGGTTGCAGTGAGCCGAGATGGCGCCACTGAACTATAGCCTGGCAAAAGAGCTAGACTCCATCTCAAAAAAAAAAAAAAGGAACACTAGTCTCTTTCCAATCACCTGTAATCCTACTAACCAAAGGACCATTTAAAACATTTTAGTGTATTTCTTTCCAGTCTCTCCTACACACATACATGTTAAATATATGGAATAAACAGTGGGATAATAAAATATTATACACACACTCCAACTCCCTACATCTTACTTTCCCACTCTTAAATCCCAAAGCACTTCCATTCAGAATTCTCTGAAAACATGTTAATGGTTAATTAATTGTAATCAAAAGCTTGAGCTTTTAATTCTTGTGTGCCATCTACTGAAAAGGCTCAGGCTGTAACGGCAAACTCATCAGAAGGAATAAATGGAATTTCTCACAAGTCATTAATTTAAAATTCCCTAATATCTTTCCTTAAGTTTACTAAGAAGCAAGTCGTATTTCAAAGAACAGAGCATACCTCCATCACTAGCTGGTGAGCTCTAGACACCAACGTGAGGCCATTGGCATGATTAAATGTCTCAGATATATCTTGTCCAAAGGTGTAACCAGCTCCCCGAGGAGATATACCCCAACCACCACGGTCATCTGGATCTGACCACAGCAAGTCACACATTGGACCCTAAAAAGTAACTTCAAGTTATAAACTGCCTTTAACAAACATGGTTAACACAGTATTTGAGTAATTTAACAGAAGCAGCACCTAAGTCACCCTTTTTGAGTGATGTTTGTGGAAAATGCTAATAGATTGTACAACTGAAGTCACACATCTGCATCAAATAAGATGTATTTTCTAGCAGTCTTTATGAGACACAGCTGACATCCATGGGACCCAACAGCAACATGCCCTATTAATCTGCCTATATTATGCAAATTTCAGAGCTATGAAACAGACAACCTAGGTCCTAATAAACCAAGCTCCATAGCTATTGTGATCTTGGCAGATTTCTTAATGTCAGCTTCTTCTGAACAGGGCAGAAAGAATGCTCACACCTCAAGTTGTTTTTGAGAATTAAATGAGAGAATACATATAATGAACTAACTTACAATTAAACTTCTCCACTCCCTAAAATCTTTTCAGAAAACGTATTATCAAATAAAAGTCATACCTCATGTGGAACTTCTTGTAGGCGATCAAGTGCTCTGATATGATCCAGTGTATCTATAGATGGCGAGAGACCACCATGTAGACAGAATATCTGAAACGAGTGGTTTAAAATGTTAACCTCACCTAAAAAATTGGTAAACATTCTTGGCTGGGCACAGTGGCTCATGCCTGCAACCCTTTCGGAAGCTGAGGGAGGAGGACTGCTTGAGGCCCAGAGTTTGAGACCAGCCTGGGCAACACAGCAAGACCCTGTGTCTCTATAAAATTTTAAAAAACTGAGCTGGGTGCCCCCATCACTGGGCCCCACTGGTGTTTCTGAGCTCTGCCTGAATGAGGGTTGACTCTGCAGGGTACATCTTTGCTCCAGCCCACTCTGAACTACTGAGTACACTCCCATTCTTCCTAACAGACCATTGCTGTCACACCCAGACTCCACCTTTAACAGCTCCTTTGAGAAAACTTCTTGGATATTACTCCTACTCCCTGCCAGACACTAACGTCTTCACACTCAAAAAATTTTCTTGTAAGTTCTTTTGTGTACACATCTACCTAAACCAATAATTAGCTCCTTACATCTCCCAGGCTTGTCCAAAAACAGTCTGAGAGGATATACGGGTTACACCATCCACCTCTGTGATCCCACCATATAGTTCAGTGCCTGATATAAATAATAATGCACTTAAAAAACCGGACACAATTATTTGTCAGATTAAAATTTTTTTAAAGTTTGAATGAATGTTATCAATTTCTACTAAACTATATTCCCAAAGTGGTGTAAGAGTGGAGTCAGCTGGGTACAGTGGCTCACACCTGTAATCTCAGCACTTTGAGAGACCAAGGCAGGTGGATTACAAGGTCAGGAGTTCAAGACCAGTCTGGCCAAGATGATGAAATGCTGTCTCTACTAAAAAAAATACAAAGAAATTAGCCGGGGACCTGGAATCCCAGCTACTCAGGAGGCTGAGGCAGAGAATTGCTTCAACCCAGGGAGGTGGAGGTTGCAGTGAGCAGAGTGTGTACCACTGCACTTCAGCCTGGGTGAGAGAGAGGGAGGGAGGGAGGGAGGGAGGGAGGGAGGGAGGGAGGGAGGGAAGGAAGGAAGGAAGGAAGGAAGGAAGGAAGGAAGGAAGGAAGGAAGGAAGGAGAGAAAGAAAGAGTGGAAAGGGTCATGAGCACCTCAACATTAAAGAAAGCAGAGTCTGAAATAACCAGCAAGGAGTTTTAAGATCCACATACCTGCCCATCCACCAAGGCAGTGAGAGGAAGATAGTCAAAAAGATCTGTAAAATATTTCCAAACATTTGCATTTCCGTATTTTCTTAAACATTCATCATAGAAACCATAAACTTGTGTGATCTGTCTGCTCTCATGATTCCCTCGAAGAATGGTGATGCGTTCACGGTAACGAACCTAAAACAACAAAATGGAAAACATAATCAACTAGCTTTCAAGAACCAATGACAATCCAGGAAACTTTCTATAGAAAAAAATCTAGAATTACAATTTTGTTGAAGAACCAGCACACAACCTCTATCATACTGAACCAAAACCACAGCTCTACAAAGTTTTTAAATCCCCATGGGGTGTTTGCTCACCTCATCTCAACTAAAATCAAACTCCCTCTATCACCAACTTTATACCAAGCATAATCAATGGAATATAAAACCCCACACATAAATTACTTTACAGTTCAATAATTTTTCCAAAATTTATGGTTACGCAACAATCACCACAATCCAGTTTTAAAACCTTTCCATTATCCTGAAAAGATCCCTCCTGCCTGTCTGCAGTCACTCTCCACTCCCACTCTAGCTCCTGGCAACCACTGATTTACTTTCTGTCTTAGTCTGTCTTTTCTAGAAATGTCATATAAATGGAATACAAAATGTAGTCTTTTGTATCTTTTGGATAAATACCACTTAAAATATTTTTGAGGCTATGTTGTAGCATAGATTAGTGGTTTGTTCCTCTTCATAGTTGCACAGTCCTTCCATGTATGGCTATATCATTTCTTTTGTTTCTCTCTTCACAGGTAAGATACCAGGGTTTCTGGCTAATATGAACAATGTTGCTATAATCATTTGCATGGAAGTTTTCCTGTGGACATATGCTTTCATTTCTCTTGGAAAGATTCCTACAAATTTAACACTTGGGTCATGTGGTAATGTTTAACTTTTTGAGAAACAAAAAGTTTTCAAAGTGGCTAGACCATGTTATACTCCCACCAGCAATGCATGAAGACTTTAATCTCTGGTACTTACCAACACTTGGTATTATTTACCTTACTGATTACAGCTATTCTAATATGTGCGAAGGAGTATCTCAGTTTTTAGTATTTATTTCCCTGATTACGAATGATATCAAGCATCTTCATTGGCCACTCATGTATCATCTTCTTAGGTGAAGTATCCATTCAAATATTTTGCCCATTTACCCATTTAAAAATTATCTTTTATTGAGCTATAGAAGTTTAGTGTGTGTGTGTATTTGAGGCTGGGCAGGGTGGCTCACGCCTGCTGTCCCAACACTTTGGAAGGCCTAGGTCAGCAGATCATGAGGCCAGGAGTTCGAGACCAGCCTGGCCAACATGCAGAAAACCGGTCTCTAGTAAAGATACAAAAAATTAGCTGGGCGTGGTGATGCATACCTGTAATCCCAGCTACTTGAGAGGCTGAAGCAGGAGAATTGCTTGAACCCAGGAAGCAGAGGTTGCAGTGAGTGGAGATCATGCCACTGCACTCCAGCCTGGGTAACAGGGCAAAACTCCATCTCAAAATACAAAAACAACAAAAAAACCGAATACAAATACTTTTTTTCTGGTGTCATATTTTGAAGAAAAATAATCTTAATTTTGATAAAGTCCAATTTTTCCATTTTTTATGGATCATCCTTTTGTTATATCTAAGAATCTTACCTAACCTAAGATGACAAAGATTTTCTGATTTATTCTAGAAATTTTATAGCTTTAGCTCTTATGTTTAGTTCTACCATACATTTTGATCCATTTGTTTCAGCACCATTTACTTAAAGGAACATCCGTTCCCCAGGTACTCTTGCTAAGATTGCCACGACAAAGAATCAGAAAATAGGTGGCTTAAACAACAGAAATTTATTTCCTCACAGTTCCAGAGGTAGAAGTCCAAGATCAAGGTGTCAGCAGAGTTGGTTTCTTCTGAAGGCCTCTTTCCTTGATTTATGGATGCTTATCTTCTCCATCTGGCTTATCTTCTTCCCCATCTGCCAGTGTCCTTATCTCGAATAAGGACACCACTTACACTGGATTAGGGTCTACCCATGTGACCCGACTTTACCTTAATTAACTGTCCAAATACAGTCACATTCTGAGGTGCTGTGGGTTAGGACTTAGACAAATGAATTTTGGGGGCTATAATTCAGCCAATTACACCTTCATGAATTAGTCTTTTTTTCTTCCAGATAGGGTCTCACTCTGTCACCCGGACTCAAATGCAGTGTGATATAGCTCACTGCAGCCTCAAATTCCTAGGCTCAAGCAATCCTCTCACCTCAGCCTCCAGAGCGGCTAGGACTACAGCACATGTCCCTGTATTTGGCTAAAATTTTTTTCTGAAGAGATAGGGTCTCACTAGACTGCCCAGGCTGCTTGCATAAACTCTTAAAGGTAGCACATTCATTCCTCTTTGAGCACTAGGATTCATCCTGGGTTTTTAGCACAGGTTAGCTCCTTTCATAGTATTTAGTGTCACTGCAGAAACATTCCACCATCTAGTCCAACTCCTTCATTTTACAGATGCAGAAGATAATGACCTCCAAAAATGTTTTGTAGCACTCTACACAATTCAGATATTCATCACTATACATTCAGCTCTTGCTAAATCCACATCTCATTGCTTCTCTAATATTAGAAAAGTCTGTGACAGCCATTTTATCATTTTGAATATTCTTTAATAAAAATGAATCTGTTACCAAGGAGAGAAAAAAAAAACCTCCCCAAGATTTTTGGGTAAAGTCAAACACTTTCCTTCAAAGCAAAGGCCGACAGACCTGCGTCCCTAAAAGCCGTTTACCACTTTTTGCTTCATGTCCAGATCATTGGTACATTCTGCAAAGCTACAACTGGTATGTAACACATGTAAATCTGGAACTTGCTTTCTTCAGTTCTAGATTTTTTTTTTTTTTTTTTTTCCAGAAATACAGGGGTCTTGCTTTGCCATCCGGCTGGAGTGCAGTGATGCAATCATGGTTCACTGTAGCCCTGACCTCCCAGATTCAAGCAATCCTTCCAACCTCAGCTTCCTGAATAGCTGGAACTACAGGTGGGCACCACTGCACCTGGCTAGTTTTTTGGTTTTTTTCCCCAAACTTTTTGCTGAGATGGGGTCTATGTTAACCGGGTTGTTCATGAACTCCTGGACTCAACTGATCCTCCCAGTCTTCCCCAGCCTCCCAAAGTGTTGAGATAACAGGCGTGAACCACTGCACCCAGTCTATTCTAGATTATTACATCACTGTTAATGGCTGAAAAATATTCAACTTAAATAAACATTATGTACATATTCACTGTTAAATTTTAGATAAAATGTTTTATTGAATTTCTTCCTCAGAAAAACTCCATTTTTCTTGAACTTCTTCCTCAGTTTTTTTTTTTTTAAGACAGGGTCTCATTGTCACCCAAGCTAGAGTGTAGGGTGGCAAGATCACGTCTCACTGCAGCCATGACCTCCTGGGCTCAAGCAACTCTCCCCCAACTCTCCCCTGAGTAGCTGGGACTACAGGCCTGTGCCACCCCACTCGACCAATTTTTTTTTTTTTTTTTGAAGATAGGGTCATGTTGTCCAGGCTGATCTCAAACTCCTGGACATCAAGCAATACGCCCACCTTGTCCTAACCTCGCAAAGTGCTGGGATTACAGGCATGGGCCACTGTGACCAGCTGATGTACACATTTTGACATCTGGTATGTTTATATATTTATAATACTTCAAAAGTTACCTAAAAACACAAATATAATTACATTTCCTCTCCATATTCCAATTTACTGACCTTAAATATCTATTTGGTCAGTCCTCTAACGTTTTTCTTTTCTTTTGTGAGATGGAGTCTCCCTCTGTTGCCAGGCTGAAGTGCAGTGGCACACTCTCAGCTCACCACAACCTCCACCTCCCGAGTTCAAGCAATTCTCCTGCCTCAGCCTCCAGGGTAGCTAAGATTACAGGCACGTGCCACCACACCCAGCTAGTTTTTGTATTTTTAGCAGAGATAGCATTTCACCATGTTGTCCAGGCTGGTCTCTCAAACTCCTGACCTCAGGTGATTGCGTTCCTCGGCCTCCCAAAGTGCTAGGATTACAGGCATGAATGAGCCACTGCACCTGGCCTATTTTTTCAAATAATGTGACTGAGACATTCATTCCCTTCCTTTTGATTCTGTACCATCCCCTTACTCAGAATGCAGATGCCTATGATTTGCAAGTCCAAAACCCAAACATATATATTTCCTAAATGTATAATTTTGTTTTAAAATTTAACATTCAGATAGAGAAAATAATTGGGAAAAAACATTCAAGAGAACTGTCTTACCCATTTCAACATGCCCCAACAAAACTGAAATTACCTTAAGAGCTACAAGCAGTGTAACTGTTTCAACTGATAATATCCTTTGTCAACAAAATTTCCCATAAACAAGTAATTTGTATCTGGGAGAAAACTGGGAAAAAACATTCAAGAGGACTGTCTTACCCACTTCAACATGCCCCAATATAAAACTGAAATTACCTTAAGAGCTACAAGCAGTGTAACTGTTTCAACTGAATAATATCCTCTGTCAACATAATCTCCCATAAACAAGTAATTTGTATCTGGTGATTTGCCACCAATTCTAAACAGTTCCATGAGATCATGAAATTGCCCATGCACATCTCCACAGACAGTGACTGGACATCGAACCTCTTGCACATTGGATTCTTTCGTCAGGATTTCTTTAGCCTACAGATGGGAGACAAAAATAAGGCAATACATTTGGCATTAAACAATATTAACAAAGATACGTTTACTTACACTTAATGTAGCTTAAGGGGCAGACTCAGTACAAGATAAAATTGCAGCATTTATGATCCCATTACAATAAGTGAGTTATGACTATAATCCATTAGCTATCTCACCGTTAGCTAGGAAAGCAAATATGCATAAAGGTGCACAACCTATTCCTATCATCAATACTAGGAGGTTTTTTTTTTAAACCTATCAAATTGCCATCTAATTAAATACTAACGAGATCATTATTAGCAATCATATAAAATCAATGAAAACAGAACAAGTCATTCAGGTACCTACTTCTTTACCTTTAGAGTTCAAATACAATGTGGCACTCAAGGATTTTTTTTTTGAGACAGGGTCTCATTCTGTCACCACCCAGGTTGGAGTGCAGTGGTATCATCACAGCTTACTGTAACCTGGACCTTCCCAGCTCAGGGAATCCTCCCACCTTAGTAGCGGGGACCACAGATACACACCACCATGGCTGGCTAATTTTCACAAACTTTTTTGTAGAGATGATGGGGTCTGACCATGTTGCACAGGCTGTTCTTGAACTTCTGCGCTCAAGTGATTCTCCAGCCTCGTCTTCCCAAAGTGTTGGAATTACAGGCACAAGCCACCTCATCTAGGCCCTGTTTAACTTTTAAAAAACATGTTTTTCTTTGGGAGGCCGAAGCTGATGGATCACGAGGTCAAGAGATTGAGACCATCCTGGTCAACATGGTGAAACCCCGTCTCTACTAAAAATACAAAAAATTAGCTGGGCATGGTGGCGTGTGCCTGTAATCCCAGCTACTAAAGAGGCTGAGGCAGGAGAACTGCCTGAACCCAGGATGCGGAGGTTGCAGTGAGCCGAGATTGTGCCATTGTACTCCAGCCTGGGTAACAAGAGCGAAACTCCTTTTCAAAAAAAACAAAAAAACAAAACATGTTTTTAACCAGGCACAGTGGCTCATGCCTGTGAGAAAATCACGTGCTCAACCATCTAAGTGACTACTATGTGCCATGCCCCATGCCCCATGCTAGCAACTGGACATAGAGTGGTGAACAAGATGGCTCATTCCTACTGCAGTAGAGGGGAGAAGGACCACAAACAAGTAACCAAGCAAAAAGTACACTGTGTTAAGTGGCACGAAGGAAAGGGAGAGGGTAACTGGAGGAGACCATTTTACATAAGATATCAAAACAAATTACCACAGAGAATTGTTGCTAAAGAGCCAGGACAACCACAGATGACAAGAACTGGGTTCAAGACAGTGGCATACAATCTTAGCTGTACATTAAAAACCCCAATGGCGACCAGGTTCAGTGGCTTACATCTGTAATCCCAGCACTTTGGGAGGCCGAGGAGGGTGAATCACTTGAGGTCAGCAGTTTGAGACCAGACTAGCCAACATGGTATAACCCTGTCTCTACTAAAAACACAAGAAAACTAGCTAGGCATGGTGGTACATGCCAGCAGTCCTAGCTACTTGGGAAGCTGAGGCAGAATTGCTTGAACCTGGGAAGCAGAGGTTGCAGTGAGCCAAGATTGTACCACTGCACTTTAGCCTGGGCAACAGAGCAAGACTCTGTCTCAAAAAACAAAAATAAAACTCCAATGCCTATCCCTTCCCCTAATCAAGTCAGAATTTTGGCGAATGATATCAAATCAATAATAATTTTTAAGCATCCCCACCCCTCCTTTCTTTAATGTGCAACCAAGTTAAAGAACCACTATTTTCAAATCTTCAAACATTTTTGGGAGCCTATTTCAGACACTCACGAACCACTGACATCTCTAAAGTGATCTAACATTTTACCAAGTTTAGAAGAAATTTCCACTGTGCTTCAAAAAGAAATTTTTTTTCCGGCTTACACTGTGATTCACGCTTGTAATCCCAGCACTTTGGGAGGCTCTGGCAGGTGGATGGCTGGAGCCAAGGAGTTTGAGACCAGCCTGGAGTACAATGGCATGATCTCAGTTCACTGTAACCTCCACCCGCCAGGCTCAAGTGATCCTCCCACCTTGGCCTCCATGAATAACTGGGACCACAGGTGTGCGCCACTATGCCTAGCTAATTTTTTGTACAGAAGAGGTTTCCCCACGCTGTCCAGGCTGTTCTCAAACTCCTGAGCTTAAGTGATTTGCCTTCCTCTGCCTCCCAAAGAGCTGGATTATAGGCATTAGCCACTGTACCCGGTCCAAGATACCTCTTAAGAAATACGTACAACTCATTATTATTAAATTCTACTTCATTTTGAAATTTTTCTCTCCAGAGTAATTCCAACACCCCCTGATTTATTATCACTAAAAAACAAATTCACTAGGCATATTCCATTACAAAATCTGTCTGGCATTAATACCACATCTAGTGTTTTTAGCACCTATTATGTATTAATGAAAATAACTGAATGAAATGGTAAGTCCTACACTGTGAAGAAACTTCAAGTCATTCAGAAGTCTTAAAAGGGCATGACGTAAGAAAATAGATGATAGGCCAGGTGCGGGTGGCTCATGCCTGTAATCCCAGCACTTTGGGAGGCCAAGGTAGGTAGATCATGACAAGGTCAGGAGTTCAAGACCAGTGTGACTAACATAGTGAAACCCCATCTCTACTAAAATACAAAAATTGGCAGAGAGTGATGGCACATGCCTGTAGTCCCAGCTACTCAGGAGGCTGAGGCAGAAGAATCGCTTAAACCTGGGAGGCAGAGGCTGCAGTGAGCCAAGATCACGCCACTGCATCCCAGCCTGTTGAGAGCAAGACTCCGTCTCAAAAAAAGAAAAGAAAAAGAAAACGGTTACATAGCATGTAAATCTTGCTATCATGTAATTTTCACATTTAAATCTATCAGAAGTTAAATGTTAATGTACATCGGTGTATACCTGTTTACCTGTAAGGGTATTTTCTGTATGAATAATAAAAAGTTGACTTTTAGGACTGCCTGAAAGTTCCTTACTACAATTGACTCAAAATTTCTATTCAAATCATGAAAGGAAAATTAAGTCTAACTGCTGTTACTTTTATTTCAATTTAAGCAAATCATAATGATAAACAATTAAAAATTTTGGCATAGACAAAAAAGAAATGTCCTCTCTATACAATCCCACCCCCTTTGGACAAAGAAACCAATGAAATTTTGATGTACAGACACTCCTCAATTTATAACACAGCTGCATCCAGATAAACCTGTCATAAATATAAGCAAATCAAAAGTGCATTTTCAGCTTAGAATGTTTTCAATTTATAATACATTTATCTGGATATAGCCCCATCATAAACTGAGGAGCATACTGAATGTCTATCATTTTCGCACCATCATTAAATGGAAAAATCAGAGATTGTATATCCTTTTAAAACGTTGTTTACAAATTTTACATATATATATGCATGTCTACAAAAACAATCGTTTTCCTTGCATTTTAAACTAGAAACAATATTGTTCAGCAGCCTGCTTTTCTAACAATATTCAATAATATATAACATTTATCGAGAGAGCTAGTTAATTTCTCATAGTGGATGCAGAGTATCCCCTCACCAATTACAAAGCAGAGGGGTGTGAAACTACAGCAATATATCTCCCTAGTATTTTCTCCTCTGTATATAAATGCAGGCACATTTCCTGAGAGAAGATACTATGAGTAAACTAGTTTATCTAGTAGTTTGCTTTTTCAATGTTGAATTAGCAAACTGTCCTTTAAAATAAAATTAAAAAGTTAACTCAAGTGAAAGTTTTGACTTGTGAATCTAGGACAGCCAACCAAAGCTCTTTCTTCCCTTCCTACCAAACTTCACAGACCAGAACAAGCATAATTAAATACTGGCGCTAACAGTGGTATGTAGAAGCAATCATCCCTCAGACCAGGACAGAGTGAAAAAAATAAAAATAAAAATAAAAAATCACCCAGCCAACTATTAAGTAGATTTTAACAAAAATGCAACCTTGGAAAGAATCAGTTTTAAGCATGATTTTAGGTTTGTTTTTTTTTTAATGGTCTCAACTTACCAGCTCTCAGATAGTTACTACAATAAAACAGACTACACCAGAACACTACAACAATAAAACCTACAAATATTCATTTAAAAGATCGTTTTGGGCTGGGAGCGGTGTAATCCCAACACTTGGGGAGGCTGAGTTGAGTGGATCACTTGAAGTTCAAGACCAATCTGGCCAATATGGTTAAACCCCGTCTCCACTAAAGATACAAAATAGCTGGGCGTTGTGGTGCATGCCTATAATCTCACCTACATGGGAAGCTGAGGCATGAGACTCGCCTGAACCCAGGAGGTAGAGGGTGCAGTGAGCCAAGATCACACCACTGTACTCCAGCCTGGGTGACAGAGCAAGACTCCACCTTTAAATATATGCGTGTGTGTGTGTGTAATTTTGGCAAATGCGGCGCCTCATGCCTGTAATCCCAACACTTTGGGAGGCAGAGGTGGGAGTACTGCTCACAAACTCAGGAGTTCAGAGACCAGCCTGGGCAACAACATAATGAGACCCCTCTCTACAGAAAATAAAAAATTAGCCATTCATGGTGGTGCACACCTGCAATTTCAGGTACTCAAAAGGCTGAGTTGGGAGAATTGCTTGAGCCCAGGAGTTCAAGGATGCAGTCAGCCATGATCACTTGACCCCAGAAGGGTCAAGGATACAGTGAGCCATAATCACATCACTGCACTCCAGCCTGGTAGACAACTGTCTCAAAAAAAAAAAAAAAATATATATATATATATATATTTTTTTTAATAAAACAAAGATAGCTGTGCTATTACAAGGAGTTAGGCCTTGTAAATCCTGAAAGCACCTATTAAGAGTGGCATTATGGATCACCTCCAGACCTTTAGCAACCATCATTTTCAAAGGTGGCTATACAATCTCAACTCTTTAATCTCTTTAATATTCAAAGTAAATGGTAGAACCAGACTTTTAAAACAACTTAATTTACATTTGAGATTTTTTTA